GGTATTAGCAGAGACGCGCGGAAATTTGAACTGGAGCTTAAGTTAACATATTTTTGTATATCAAAATATTGATATCTAGAACTATTTTATGATCCCCTTTGAATTCAATATATCCGGGTTCGACTGTAATCTACAGGTTTACACCCAGAAATCCAAGTAAACTGGGCGATGCTGCAATGGCAGCAGACTAGGAAATGCTTGGCCTACATGTTGGCGGTTGCTGTCAGTTTCGAGATCCTGCGAGAGTACTGGCCCAGACAACTTTCTTAATGGTTGGGAGTTACATAGTGTCAGCATATAAAGCCCTAGGAAGCAACACCTGCTAGTTCCACAAGCTGGGTGCATCACAAACAGAAAGAGGAGATGATGCATTGTTTATTAAATGCCATGAAAACAGAGAAACAGAAGTAATATCTTAACTTTGGTCACACAGAATGTGGGGGAAAGACATCTACATATCTATGCTGACAGTGTCAGTTGGCTAAACAGTTTTATCAAGGTCATAGTATCTTGGGATAGTCTTTCTGGACAAAATATCCCATGGCAATGCAGCAAGCGATTTTGCAGATGTCTACAGGTCTCACTAAACAAAAAAGCACTGCCATCTGTCCTACATGGATGCGTCTGCAAGAACATCCACATTGAAGTGTCTGCCTAACCTTGCAAAAATGAGAATCTCGGGAAGTCAAATAAAATCGGAACTTCATAAAATCGCGACGCAACCAGTATGTATGAGGTTACAGTACGCAACACTTCATAAAATCCATAAAAATGTACTATACATAAAAGCTGCCTGTATGTACATGAAACCAGACTAAAAAGATTGAAACGATAGTTAAAGATGATCCATTGGGCATTACCCGGCTGTTTACAAAAATAGATAAAAAGATGAAAGGGAAGCAGGCCATTAATAATGGGATGAGGCCTGCATTTTCCGATGTGCTGTCCCGATGTCGCACTGGTTCACCTACAAACAGAAGAGGAAGACTAAGAACACATAGAACAATCTTCAACAAGGCTTGCAGATTTACTCCTTTTTACTTTCCAGTGCCCCAGCAATAATAAACACTGATGCCTACATCTTTTAAGCTGTAGGCATAAACTTTAAACACTGGTGCCTAAATTCTTCGAGGTGGAGGAGCTAACTAATGCCATACACATTTAAGAAAATATGCCATGTCATAGCTGTGGACATGAAAGACTAGGAACGAAAGGGGTAAAAGAAATAGAGGACTAGTACACGAAAGGGGTACAAGGACTAGGACACGAAAATTAAATGGATAGATTATTCTTGAAATGAAATACTCATTGGTTACTTAGTATATACACCAAGCTTTCTGATTTTCAGAGGTTGAGTAACTGCAATAATCAATTTACAAATTTCTATAATTTTCATCTGGCAACCAGGCAACACTGCCCAAGTTAGTCACACCATAGTGCCCACAGACCACGTGATCAAAAACGCTCATCGCTTAAGCTCGCCTCGCCGCGATAAGATACGATTAAAACCGCTCGCGCACTTCTGCTACCCAAACGACACTCTCGCTCTTGCCCACGGCCCTTTGACCTTCCCCAATCCACCCTGCATGATCCTTCGAGATTTTCACGGACGACACCGACCACCGCGAGTTCGTCCGCGACTCGCCGTCGCTGGTCGCCAGCGGGTCATAGTCAAATGAGCAGCTTCCAACATCACTTTCATTGCGGCTGCAGTCAGTGTCGAAGACTTTGACGAAGTGAGCGATGCTGTAGACAATTGTCGCAGACCACAAGCTCAAAACGCGGACAATAAATGAGGAAACAAGATCGAGACGCAAAGAGAGTTAAGCCGGCGAATGCACGCAAAAGAACGCCGCGCAGTTGGCTGGCGACGTCACCAGCCCACCAGTCACGGCGGCCTTTTCAAATGGGGCGGATAACTATACTGCTTTATTATCCATGAAACTATTGCACCATTTTCAAAACAAATTTAGCATGATTACTGGATCATGCAATAAGTCTGAGCAGTACCAGTTCTGTTTTTGGCATGCCTTGGCCCCTGACTAGGACTTGTTTTGCCACTTTTTAGCCTGGCACAACCATGGCACCCAAATCTTGAAGGACATATGGCCCACAACACACTCTAAAAAAAAAGGGGTGTAGTACTTACACCCAGTGGGGTGTATGTGACTTGTCCCATATACGACACCCCCATGGGTATATATGCGACACCCCAAAAAGGGGTGCATTCATGCACCTCATTTTGAGGTGCACATGTGCACCTCAGGGGGTGCATAAGACACACCCCACCCCGGGGTGTACATATATTCCGTTTCTCACTTACTGGGAATACTGATACACCCCATTTTTAGGTGTACATATATTCCGTTTCTCACTTGCTGGGAATACTGATACACCCCATTCTTAGGTGTACGTGTATTCCGTTTCTCACTTACTGGGAATACCGATACACCCCATTCTTAGGTGTACGTATATTCCGTTTCTCACTTACTGGGAATACTGATACACCCCTCTTTCAGGTGCACATATATTCCGTTTATCACTTACTGGGAATACTCATACACCCCATTCTTAGGTGTACATATATTCCATTTCTCACTTACTGGGAATACTGATACACCCCATTCTTAGGTGCACAAATATTCCGTTTCTCACTTACTGGGAATGCAGTTACACCCCATTCTTAGGTGTACTTATATACCGTTTTCCACACCCTTCTCACTTACTGGGAACCGATAAACCCCACTCTTAGGTGTACATGTGCGAAGTCAACAAAACTAACACTAGAACATTTTTCCATCAAATAGACAGGAAACGTATTTGCAGCTCTTTTCCAAGCTTTTAACCGTCAAATGACGGTGTTTTGTGTCATTTTCATGTCCCATTTGTCAACCCGAAAGCAGTTAAGCTGCCAATCGCACATTCTATCGCCATTTCATCATATGGCCTGGCATCATTTTGACGTCCTAACTGTCAACCTGAAATACAATTGAGAGCTTTTGTGTCACTCCTGCGAATATAACATTGTCAGGATCATGCAATATTTTATCAAATAAGCTACGAAAATTGGTATCTGTTCCTACATATTTATTGCTCGTAAACACTGGATGAAACATATACTACAAAAATACATATTGAATGCATGCACCAGCAACGTCGCTTGTTTCTTTTCTTCTTGTTTTTGCATGTCTGATCTTTTAGTCTTGTGCCTTGGGTGTTGACCACCAAAAAGAGCCATGGAGCATTCCTGAAAAGCAAAACGCAGTTGTATACCATGATTAGATACATAAAGGGCACTGTCAAGGCCCCACACCTTACTTAATGAGCATTACCAAAAACCAGGAACTCAGCCAACTTCATAAATATTTTGCACACCATCGAAGAATAGTGGGGTGGAAAGTTTACCACTTTAGATACAGGTGCAAGGCTGGAAAACCGAAAACACAGATAAAAAGCATGTGTTTTCAATATACTTAAACAACTGATTTTGGCGGTTTTCAACAATGCCAGCCTGTTTCTTATTGCAACTGTGTTTATTTTTTACTAATAAAATGCACAATTAGCCGAAAACTGCCATAAGCAACCTTGTACTCAGTGGCGCCTAACCAGATAAACGAATGCCAACATCAGAAGTGTCCTAATGCAAGCTTCCTTTAACAAAATTTTGGACCATCTAAAACAGTGCTCTCAAACACATTTAAGTGTAGAGGCCAGATAGCCCACCCCCAAAAGATCGAGGGCTTCTGTAAGGCATGGGGGTCAAGAAATTTGTTAAAGGGACCTTGCGCTCTCCACGTTTTGTAACTTGCAATCTTGACAGTGACATTTTTAGCCGTGATTCATTTGTAGTGCTCCCCTTATCCCTTTCCTGATGCAATCGCAAGAATTAAAGTGGTACTGCCGCCAACATACTGGCATTTTGTAAGAGGACAAGAGAACAAGTACACTGTTGTTGCCGTTGCTTATTTCACTCAGGATATATTCAAGCTCAACATGTCTCGAAAGAATGCCTTTTGCTTTTCTGAGAATTTCTGATAGCACCAGTCTGAGCGAATACTTGTATTTTAATGGCGATATTTTCTGAGGGCGAGAATCCAGAGCTCATGAATTTATCTTTGGTGGTTGCTTCTGACAAGCGAGAGTTCATGCAGTTGAAGTGCATCCTTGGGCAAAGAGCTCGTGGTTGCAGCCTACCATCGGAATTGTCGTGCAGGTGGTAAATACTAAAAAAAAGACGGGAAGGAAAAATAGAGACTAAACACCTGAAAAATAAAAACGAAACTACATTAACTATGTGGATATGTTATAAGAGGATAGCTATGTTTCCAGCGTAAATGAATAGACCTATCCCACCAAGCGTTCCACGCATGCGTGACGCCGCCATAACTGTAGTTCGTAGGAGGCAGACCAGTTCACGCGACAGCTCATGCTGCCTCGTGGTCTGCTCGCGCAAACCTCCAGCATGGTTGTCGCGCGTGTAGAAAGACTACAGCTCCCACGATGCATATCGGCAGCGGTGGCGTACTCAAACTAGCTGGTGAGATCGGTCTATTAGCGACATATTATAATGCATGCCATTTGTAGTGCTCGTTATGAGACCAGGAGCTTGCAGCTGGTTTCCTGTGGGCCGTGTTCAAGCAAGTCGCGAGCTGCATCTTCAAGCACTGAGCAGATTAATTTTACCCAGTTATCTATTACCTGCCAGTGCATCATAATCTGTACAATGGTGAATATATTCCGAGTCACTACTTGCGCGCAGCACAGGCTAAGGCAATGCCCGAAGAGGGGAAAGGGCAAGCGCTAGAAAGGCGGGTGAAAAGAGTAACCTCCTCTCCTATCTAACATTCATAGTGCTTTCCCCCTCTCCCCCAGCCCTGCCCTCGCCTCCCATATGCCTTCCTAGTGCTCACCTTTTCTCTCTTCGCATGGCTGTTGCATTCACCTGCAGTACACACAACTAGTGACACGGGGTGTAATTGAAGGACGGTACACTCACAGATGTCAAAGCACTGGAAGAGTTCGCAACTTTGGTGCAATGCCACTGGTTGCACTTTTGTATCGCACTTCAGATGGGTTGATTTGCCCAAAGTACCTGGAAAATAATAAGAATGATAGAATAAATTAATGTGCCATAAACCAGGGCTGGGCAGACACACTCCAAAAAGTATTCGGGAATACTGAGATACATCTGCTTTAAGGCCAAAAATGCAGATACTGAGATACATTGTCTTTTATGCAATGCTATATCCCCGAGACACTTCTGCGAGAATGGTGAAAAAGTATTCAGGAATACAGATACAATGTGTAGTTGTATCTGTATTGTAGAGGGTGTAGTTCGTGGGGAATATGTACGGTCAGTGGCGTTCCAACTTGCTTTCGAGTCAGGAAGGGGGGAAGGGGGGGGGGGGGGGCGGGCGGGCGAGTGCTTTTGGTATCCCTTGGGCGCTGCCGGCCAGTCTTTAACCTGCCTTGTGGCGGCTGTTTTAGGGGGGTGGCAGGGGGGGGGGGGACAACACATGTCTTGCGCCCCCTTTGCCCCCCCCCCCCCCCGGTTGGTACGCCCATGTGAATGGTATCTATGCTTTGCTCCTTTTTTGTGCCATTTTATATGCTGTCCTTCTTACTTCAAACTCTTTATTTATCATTAATGCCGCTAAAGAAAACATGTCGCCCCCGTTGAATCAAATAGTTACAAAATGGTAAAGACTGCGTACCATGCTTGACGAAAGGCGTCTGCCAAAATTAAACCTCTTTTGCCGTGAGGGCAGCCTGTGCATCAGAGATTTGAGTCATGAGTACATGTAATCTAACCAAGTATTAAGCCTAATCACACCATATAATCCCAGCTGTCTGACAAGTAAAGAAGAAAAGAAAACAGGGTCCACCAGATAGTCAATTGCTCACCTTGCCAGACGGTGCCTCGGGACTATGGCGGCATCTGCTAGGTACAGAGCTTCTGGTCTGTGCATCAGAGAATAGGCATTAGCAAACATGATCTATCCAAGCACCAAGCCTAGTTTCACAAGATACGCTAACAACCTGAGAAAAAGAAAAACAGTCTGCAGCATAGTTGATTGCTTACCTTGCCAGACAGAGCCTCGGGACTATGGTAGCGTCGGTGCTACAAGCAGAGCCTCTCGCCTGTGCATTAGATTACTCATTAGTATACGTGATCTAGACAAGCACCTAGCCTAGTTACACAATTTTACTTAGCAGCCTGACAAGTTAAGAAGAAGAAAAAAAGAAAATAGGGTCCGCAGGGTAGTGAATTGCTTACCTCGGGACAATGATGGCATCACTGCTAGGTGCAAATAGTCATCAGTAAACGTGACCTAGCTAGGCACCAAGCCCAATTTCACAATACATGCATTACAAACTAAAAAAACAACAAAAAAAAAAACAGTGCACGATAGTTGGTTGCTTACCTACCCAGAAAGGGCATCGGGACTATGGTAGCGACTGTGCTACAAGCAGAGCCTCTCGCCTGTGCAGTAGAGATGAAAGTCATTAGCACACGTGATCTAAGCAAGCACTTAGCCTAATTTCACAGTATATGCTTAACAATCTGACAAGAAAACAAAAATCAGCAGGCTAGTTGATCGCTTACCTTGCCAGACGGTGCCTCGAGACTATGGCGACATCAGTGCTAGCAGCAGAGCTTCACTCCTGTGCGTTAGAGATTCGAGTCATTAGTACACGTGATCTAACCAAGCATCTTATGTTATCTCACACTTCACAGGTGCGTGAGATGACTGGCATACTACAAGCACAAGGAGACACTCGCATTTTTGAACCATTAACACTGCGACACCTAATTGTTGCTGCAGTGTGACAAAGTGTATGCTTCACAAATGAAAAATGCAATAAAACGTGTAGTCTAATTTTACAAATTTTGCCCAAGAAAGAGTCTGACAAGTAGGGTACCAACATGACAATTCAAAGTTAGCCAAACTCGAGCTTCGCAAAAGTTAGCATCCGCGGGTACAGCCACTGCACATGTTTCCGAATAGAGCTCTCAAAGTAACGCCAAACTGAGCACCACACACACCGAAGCTGGTGAGCACTGTCCTAGAGTTCCTGCATAGGCTCTCTACGAGAGTCAGAGTTGCGCGTCTGTTATCCACACGCTGACACGCCGCTATTCGCCTAGATCCGACCATGTGAGGAGCAAAATCCAAATACTGTGCAGGAAAGCCGCCGATACGGCCGTTTCGCCGACGTCGCAATCTCCTCAGCGTACGTTCCCCTGCTTTTGTCTCCTCCCCCTTTCCTGTTTTTCAGGAAAGGAGAAGGAGCACGTTGCTATTCGCCCAATCCAGTGAGATGAGGAGCAGAATTTCGTCCCCTGCAGGAAAGCCGGTGCTCCGGGGTGAACGCGCAGCTCTGGCTCAGGGTTGGCAGGTTGGGCTATAAACAGCCCGATTGGGCTTCTCAGTTTTGTAATAGGCAGGAAAATCTGGTGGTTGACTATTAAGCTATTTCATACCCGATATTCAACAATTTTCAAAGCCTTAAACATGATATTTCTGCGCCGGGTAGAGAAAAACAATCTCCTGAGGTTAGGAAAGGAAAATATCCAAATCACAAGCGTGCAAATACAATATGTGGACCCTCATTGGTGTTGGTTGTGGAGGTGCAATATCGTTTTTCTGAAGTTTTTTGGCACGATTTAATACCGCAGGCAGGGGTGGAGGCACGTGTTTCCAGAAGGAGGAAGGAAGAGGAGTGGGGGCAGCTTAACAGATGTTTGAGAACCCCCTTCTTTCGCTGCACTAAAATATACATGGGGACGCTTTATCCTCTTATTGCCTTCTTCTGTAAATAATTGCCTTATGTCATGTATCATGTTACCCGTGTTCCAAAGAGATGTAAATACCTTGTATGAAATTTTATGTGTTGGGCTATTTTTATAGCCCGACATTTGGCTACTCTTGGGCACAATATCAGGAAATTTTGACGGGTTAATCTGCAAATACCTGGCGACCCTGCTCTGGCTACCATAGGGGGCCTACGCAGGAACTCCATGCTGCCCTAGAGTTCCTGCAGAGGCAGCCTACGGGAGTCAGGAGTTGCGCGTTCATCCCAGTAGCTCCGGCTTTCCCGCACTTCAAGTCTGCTCCTCACGTGACTGAATTCGGGGAATAGCGGCCGCCGCGCTTTACCTCCTCATTTCCTGGAAAGCAGGACAGGAGGAGGCAAAAGCGGGGGTATGCACACCGAGGCGCTTGCACCATCGGCGAAGCCGCCGTACCGGTGGCTTTCTTGCACGGCATTTGGAGTCTGCTCCTCACGTGATCGGATATCGGCAAATAGCGGCGCGGCGGCACGTGGAAACCAGACGCGCAACTCTGGCTGGAGCCTATAATCTCAATGCTGCACTAGAGTACCAGTCCCTGTATAGGCTCCCTACGGGAGCCAGAGTTGCGCGTCTATATTCTACGTGCCGCCGCGCCGCTATTTGCCGAGATCCGACCACGTACCGTGCAAGAAAGTAACGTTGCACGCTCCCCGCCGGCACCCCTGCTTTTGAGCGCGCCTCGTCGGTTGGAGAGTCAATGGTTCCAGTACCCTCTCCCTCTTCGTAGTGGCCGAGCAGGGAGGGAATATGGTTTCGTTGTGTCGACCTCGGGGGCGGAAGATTACGCACGATGGGGACAAAGGCGAGTTTGGGGGAGCAGTATCTAGGTCACAGCGCCTCAATGGTTGAACAGGATGTAGCTGACGTTTTGGGTGTGGAACGGGTGGGGACGCCTTGCGCGCGCGTTGTTTTCTCGACACTTAGCCTCGTGTCGAGGTGGCAGCACATATTCGCAAAGAGGTCCAAAAGTCGCGTGAGGAGCTGGATCAACATGCCGTGCAGGAAAGACGGCGCTACGAAAATGAACGCGCAACTCTGACCCCGTAGGGAACCTATAAAAGAACTCTAACTGCCTTGTCCCGAAGCGCCACCTTAGTTCCATCGTCCCCACTGAAAATCGCATTGCATAAGAATAAGTGCGAGCGAAGCCGGTAACAAGCGCGAGCATGTTGCTCTGCAATCGAACTACGTTTCACCGACAGATCGTTTTATAGATACGCGATGGTTCATCGCCAGAATGCTTTATCGACAGCACAAACTACCTTTTTTCTGTAAGAAGCTGCCTCACACTGTTGCCACGAAGCGGATAGTATGTGTAGGATACACCCGCGACGAAATGTCCCTACAACGCTAAATCCGCGTAACGACTGTCGATGGAACGGTAGTGTCGACGAACGAGAGTCCATGAAACATCTGTCCACAAAAAGTGTTTTTTTGGCGAAACGATAGAGACCCGTTGCTCTGAATGACGCCAGCTCTACACGCAAGAATAATGTCTCGAAGCTGCGATGTCGTGCTCGTTTGTGCACTCAGAGAACCGGGCACCGCCACCGCGCACACATGCCACAAATACAAAAGCGAAGAAACTCTGACATAAACAGGAGAAAAAGGAAAGCACGTCCCCAGCTAGCAGGCCCCATGCCTCGCAAAACGCACCATCCAACGAGTGCATGTAAACGGCAGACTTACCTTTATCGGGCGGGCACATCTTGGTTTGTGACTGCAGTGCAGCTACGTGCCGAGCATCGCTTCGTGAACACGATCCGCTTTGTCCAACCACCTTCTAAAAAAACACGCAATTCAATATAGCGCGAATGAACAAAGGCGATGTCACCCGCCAGCCGAAGCAAAAGTATGGCCGCCGAAGCACGCCGAGATGGAATGCAAGAGGTGAGGAGGTCAAGTCTCCTAGCAACACGAAGGCCAGATAATGCACGAAACGCGATCGCTATCGCGATAGGTTGTCAGTCGGATGACGTGTAACCAGTGACTGCTAATCAGGACGCGCGCTCTACTCTATTACCACGCGCATTTTGTTTGTTTTGTTGCGCTCTCCTGATAGCGCTCCCTCTCCCCTTTTTGAAAAAGGAAAGGGGGGGGGGTGTAATGGCGCACCTGGCAACACCCTCGCCTCGCCCGCCGATTCCTTTGGGAGAGGAGGATTCGCGTGATGGGAGTGCGATTACGCTCGCCGGGTGTCTCCAGTCGAAGGGGGGTGTAAGGGTGCGCGATACACCCACATACACCCTTTTTTTCTGAGAGTGCACGCCATGCCTTTGCAAAACCCTAGAGCAGTGATTCTCAACCATTGATGTTTCGGGGACCCCCATGGATCGGCAGAAATGATGGAGGACCCCATTCGTGGTGAGGGGTAGGGAAAGGTATATGTTTATTACGATAATGATTTTTTAAATAAATATAACTAAGGACTAGAGTGGAGTAGACTTCTCTCGCTGATATAGACACGAGAAAACTTACCCAAAAATTGGAATGTCTCTTCTCAACCCGATAAAAAAAAAACTTATTGACAGGCTTGACTGATAAGGCAGGGTTTCGTGGACCCCTAGAATGCTTTGCAGACCCCAAAGGGTCTGCAGTCCCCCATTTTAGAACCACTGCCCTAGAGGGATGTAACCGTAAAGAAGTATGTACCGTTGTGGCAAAGCGCAGCGAGTTGATAGTCTCTGCCAGGTTCTTCTCGCGGGGAGAGACGTTGAGCAGCATGTGGGTCTTGCTGTTCCCTCCCAGGCTGTCCATCAGGAGGAAGGTCGACTTGGAGTTGCGGTATGGCACGTGCTCTGCCTGCAGTTGCCAAAGAAGGGGAACGACCATTGCTCAAAACAACGACCTTACCACCACACTTGCACTCCGGTTCACTTGAAAGAATAATTGACAGCCCGGAGCAACCCGTCACTGGGTGCGAGTTCACGCCCCGGAGTGCACAAGCTTTGCACTTTAGTCACTAAACGGACAGGAGCATCATAGAAGGCTGCTGCTCAACTGCACTACGTGCGCCCACGTTTTCTTAAAGCATTAGCTTCTCCCTGGCGCTCCCCCGATGCCACTTCCATTTCAATTTATTAATAGTTTGTTTCACGATACAGTAACCAAATGAAAGTAGTCTTTCTTTCCACATTAGCAGAGCGAATACCGAGAAGAGAAAACTGCCAATCCTGGGGAAGAGCTTGGCGGGAGAGGCTCCCGTTAACATTACGTTGCAACAGACTACCCTATAGTAGTATATTCCTATGTGTGATGTTCGCATCCTAACTGCACTGAGAGCACGAGAAAACCCTTGAGAGAAGCAGACTGAACGTGCCCATTTTCGTGCAGATATTTTCTCAAAGGCGTTCCCTTTCTACAGCCAACTTATATTCAGAAAGAAGGTTGCTTAAAGGAGATTGCAGACCTTCTGGGAGAGTGCCAGGATGACGTTGCCCAGGTTCAAGAGGGAGCGGTTGATTTGCTGGGCCTCCCGGAGCCTGGCACCCTCCG